TTGAAATTTAAAATCGTACCAATTGTCTTTTCATGCTGTTAGATTAAAATCCGTTATCTACCTTGCTCTTTGAGGGCATCTTTTTAAACTAAATCCTGATTTTGCAACATCATGCATTGGTCTTCTGAAAACAAATTTTGGTTTACTAAATTGCTTGGATATTCTGGCCTCTGGCAAGTTTTATTATTCACTATTTTAAAAATCACTATTTAAAAATCACAAAATGCTAATAGCACCAGCAGCCCAAACTGCACATTCTTTAGGTAGCGGGGCGCTGTCAAGCTCATGGTGACAGATACATGATTTCCAAATCGCTTTCATTTGAAATCCTGAAATGTATAATTGATCATAAAAATTCTCTGTTGCTGTTCATGAATTGACAGGCTCCCTTCATTCATTTTATTTTCCTTTGAAACTGTTTGCCAAATACCCAGTTTTGAATAAGCATAGTTTTTTTGTCACTCATTATTCAAGTGAAAACTGTATTCCATAAAAAAAAATGTGCAAATTCAGCTCAAAACTCAAATATGCAAATGGTGTTCTTGGAGACAGTCACCGTGTGGTGGGCAGTGGAAGTGCTGCACGAACTCTTCCTCTTGTGTCACAGATAATTCCGCAACAACATGAAGTCAAAAGTGAAAAATCCTTGGCCACTGTCACTATTTCATAAAGCATGTTTTGAAGGGGCATTCGTCTTTTTTGACAAGCACAACGCTGTGAAGACAACACTGCTTAATGGCAGCTGTACCTGATGGCATTGCCTTGATTCACAATGTTGCAAACGGTCAGCAAATTAGCATTAGTCCAAAATCACCTTGCAATCCTCAACACCCCAGAAGGGTCTCAGGCACTCGTAGGTTTCCAAGGACTAGAATTTGAATGTCCTTATAATCTTGGACTACATTATGAGGATAGAGTTGGAATGCTGTGCGAGCATAAGCTATGCATCCCGATTAATGTATATAAGTAGGAGGCTTGCAGACAAGAATAGAGCCTAATTTTAGTGAAAATGCAGTACATTTTACAAAGGTAAAATTGAAAGGAAATTCTCAGCATAGCTAGGAAAAAAAAATCGTATCTTTGTGCCTGGACTTCAGGGTTCTGGAGAATGTAAGTCAGGTGAAAATCCTAATATTCAAAAAGTAGAGTGGAAACAGATTTCAGAGGAGAGCTTGGATTTTACCACAACTTGTTTGTACTTTGTTTTTTCCATAGGCAAAGAAAAAATAAATATGAAAACTAGAGTGGCGTACCACAGATATGCATTTTGGTAAATTGAATTCATTTCAATGAAATGAGAGGGTAATTCACAAATCTCCAATATAAATTGAGAACGTGGAAAAACAAGAAGGACACTTTAGAAGTGAAATAAGTAGGTTAGTTGAGACACGGAATACAAAACATGAAGGGAGAAATGATGTTGCTGATGACTGTAGCGCCATTGGCTTGGAATTGGCCTCACCAATATCTGGTGGCAGAGCCAGGCACAGAGAGGGAAGAACACATATAAATCTGCTTCTTGGAAACAAAGAGACAGGCAGACATATAAAGACAGAGACACATCCTCCACCCACTGCCTCCTTCTCCACTGCCCACAACAGCCAGGGTTGGGCCAGTTTATAAATCAGGAGCCTGAAACTCAATCTCCGCCTCCCAGTTGGGTAGCAATGATCCAAGTGTTCATTGAGTGTTCATGGATCTGAGTGATCCATGGTGTTCATTAGCAGGAAGCTGTAACTGGAATTGGAGCCGGACTCAAACTCCTGGCCACTCAGGTATGGGACTGATAAATTCTAAGCGGCACTCTAAAAGTTCTATCAAAATGTACAGTCCCGTCTCACCCCCTTCTACATTGAACTCATAGGAGATATGTTAGAGAACACACACAGGCCAATGGCTGTAATAGGAAATGTGCTTGTGTGAGAAGAGCAATATGGAGTCAGAGTCCAGATCAAAGGAATGAATTTTATTTATTTAAAGATTTCTTTATTTGAAAAAAAATTGCAAAGAGAATGAGAGAGAGAGAAAAAAAATCTTTCCGGGTCAATACCACACTCTCCAGTTGACCGCAATGGTCAGGGCTGAGCCATGCCAAAATCAGAGTCCAAGGGCCACAAGTCAGGAGTCACGAGCCAGGAATCAGAAGTTTCTTCCAAATTGCTGATGTAGATGGCAGAGGCTCAGGCTCCTGGACTATCTTCCACTGTTTTTCCCTGGCTATGTGCATGGAGCTGGACAGGAACTGGAGCATCCAGGACATACCTGTGAGCATATAGGATACCATAGCAGTAGTTTGTGCCTTTACTTGCTATGCCACAATGCCAGCCCCAAGACAGGTCATTTTATATTTTGTGTAAGAACTTCGCCCCTTCATACCAACAGAGGAACATAATTGCAGATTTTGCACACAAGAATATCAAATCATTCTTTCTTGTGCTATGCTCTGTCTATAAGGAGACTAGCATGCTTATTATGGCTTGGTGATTAGGACGTTGCAGATATTCAATTGATTCAGATATTACCATTTTTCCATGAAAATATTTTAATGGTTCCTTTTGCTTTTATTCTTTTTTTAGTTGTAAAGCAGTCTCAAATTAAGATATTCAAATGATATATTTAAAATATTGTTAAGATTCCCTTATATATGGAAAATATTGGTCAGATTTTTTCTTCCTGATTGGAGTCCAAGTATGTTTCCATGCTTCCGATATTCTGCCTACTGTCTACTCACTTTCTGAATCCTCTGAAAAGCAAGGTATTTATTGTATTTGTACGAGCACATTTTAATTGTTTGTCTGAACACACAAAATGCTTTAGATGTGTTGCAATGCCGTGTTGTTTTCCCATGGTCATGAGGTTGCGAATGGAAAAAAATTGCAGTTGTACTGAACAATTACCTTTGTGAATCAGGTGGAAGGTGTCCAGACTTAACTGTGTTTTATTTCCAGCGCCAGCACTCATATTCCTACACATTCTTTATGAACAAACATAATCAATTTTTGAGTCAATTGGTTCTTTCTCTGAAAATGCTTAAGTCCTGACCCTTTCATTCTATTTGTGTGTGTGTGATACTGACTATCACAGCTGTAACAGATGTTCAGAATGCTTTCACTGCAATCAATCTTGCAATAGTACAGTCGTGACCTTGAATTTGAATGTGATCGGCCTGGCGTATCACTCCCCAAAAGGGCAGAATCAATAGCAATGATGACAACTTAACCCTTCGAGAAAAGGCGTTTATTGCATTGAAAACTATGACTTCTCCTTTGACTCCTCCCATCTTTAATGATTTCCTCACTATATTACTGTTTAGTTTTTTTTTTTTTTTGCTCCATCTGCTGCTTTTCATAATCTCCTCCCTTCACTGCTTCTTACAAGCTCTCTTCCTTTAGTGAGAATTTCGTTCTCTCAATAGTTGGTTGGCAAAGTGCTGACTAAGGCTGCATAGCCATAAGTTACCTTAGCAGGATTGGCCTTTGCTCCTCCAACATTGTCTTCTGAACCTGAAACATCTAGAAACATATTGTAGCACAGCCTGCCTCCCCAGACCCTCTCAGGATCTTGATACTCTACTAAGGAAATGCAAGCACATATTTGGGTATGTCATGTACACACACATATTTATTGTTAAACTCAATTCAGTTAAAAAAAAAACTTGCCTTCATAACGTCTTCTCTGTTAAACAAATCTATTCATATTGCATATTTTGTACCATAAGTCACTATTTATCAACTATGTACTGAATATTTCAGCACTAATCAGACGATATGCATGTATCATTCAGTGACTCACAATGTCTGATGTGATCAGTCAGATGACTGGCGAGGAAAACAGAAGGAAATCCCAGCTGCTGAGAAAAAAACGACCCCCAAAGTCACTAAGTAACTAAAACCCTGTGACACTTCACAAAGTGGCATCATTGCAATGCAACAGGACACTGGCCACCAAGAGACGGGGAAAATGACATTCAAAATGCAAACTTTGGGCCCAGTGTTATAGTCTAGTGGCTAAACCCTTGCTTTGCATCTACCATAATACCATGTGAGCACTGGTTTATATCCCAGCTGCTCCACTTCCCCTCCAGCTCCCTTCTTGTCACCTGGGAAAGCACTAGAGGATGGAGCAAAGCCTTGGGACCCTGCACATGCCTGGGAGACCTGAAAGGAGCTCCTGGCTCCTGGCCTCGGATAGGCTTAGCTCTGCCCATTGCAGCCACTTAGGGTGTGAACCAGAGGACGGGAGATCTTTCTGTCTGTATCTCCTTCTCTTGTATATATCTGTCCTTCCAATAAAAACTAAAAGTAAATCTTAATAAATAAATAATAATTCTTAATTTAATAGAATATCATTCAGTTAGTTTTCTATGGAAAACAAAGTGAAATCTTAATTCCTCAGATCTTGTTAGACATTAGTCCTAGAGCCTAGGGTAATGCTTAAGTTATAAGAAGGAAGGAAGGAAGGAAGGAAGGAAGGAAGGAAGGAAGAAGAAAGAAAGAAAGAAAGAAAGAAAGAAAGAAAGAAAGAAAGAAAGAAAGAAAGAAAGAAAGAAAGAAAGAAAGAAAGAAAGAAAGAAAGAAAGAAAAGAAAAGAAAAGAAAGAATGAAAGAAAAGAAAGAAAGAAAGAAAGAGACAGAGAAATAGAAAATAGTAGGAACATTCCTGAATCGAGTTTGCATTCATTTCTTCATTAAATTCCTGCTAAAGGGCAAAACCTCACATCTACCAGACTGGAAAGCCACCGCCTGACTTCATGTGCTAAGCATGTCTTCTGCTGAAGGCATTTGCAGTAGCCACTGCCCCATTCATCACTAGCTTTTCTTCCCAGTTCTAGAATTAAGTAAACAGATGAGTGTTTTAGGATTAGTTTGGATCAATTGACATGTAGGTTACCCTATGTCAATAGCTGCTTTTTTAAAATAAGCCAGAAACAAGCTTCAGGTTACCTGTTTCTCATCTGATGGAGACTTCGAGTTTTGTTTTGTCTTAAAATAATGATTAGAGTGCCCACTTCGGCAGCCCACATACTAAAATTTAAACGATACAGAGAAGATTAGCATGGCCCCTGTGCAAGGATGACAAAAATAATGATTAAAAACGATTACATACCTAAATAAGTGACAATAAGCCATAATTAATCATCAATGCAGAAAAGGACAAGCATCTTGGAAATAAATGCCAAGAATAAACTTCCAAATACAAAAGCTGAAAACTTTGAACAAAAAGTAATCAAATATGGGGGGAAAAAAACATTGTTGCAAGACAAAGCTCAGTGACATGTTTAGACAATAAATAGAAGTTCTTAGTTAAACATTTCCCGTGATGCTGTTACAAGTCTCTCACTGAATGAAGTCCTCAGAAATGCTGCCTGGCTGTCAGTGAGCAGCTTGCTGCACGTGGCAGGTGCTTTATGGTGTCACAAGCAGGGATTCCTTTATTCCTCATACAATTCTATGAAATGAGTGAGCTGCCCAATTGAAAACCAAAGTAAAGTAGCAAATCAGCTAAGCCACAAAGAAGTCAAGTGACTTGCCTCCAATTGTACATTCAGGAAGTCCAGGCACTCCCTAGCATGACATTTGGACACAACTTTTAGCTCTATCAAGTGTCCCAGAAACTCAAAAGCCAGATGTTCAAGTTGTAAGAATAAATATTAATCAGGAGGCTTTTCAATACTAAATCCAAACATAAATTATTTTGTCACCATTATGAAACATCTAATATATGTAAAGCTTTATGCCATGGGGTGAAGATTTCTTTATTAGTTTACTTGCTTCAGGAAAAAAAAATAGAAAGTTCTCTGAAACCAGACCATTTAGCCATTCCTGTATTAGGGCTAATCTTTTCTAAGTGTTTAATGTTCTTTTCATTCTAATGTTACAAGTTCTAAACTCTAGTAAGTCCTTTCTGATATTTACAATAGGAAACTCATTGGTAAAGTTTCATGCAAAACAAGTGGCAAAAAGTAGAAAATCTTTGACAAATGGGAAGAAAATGATAGGATTGGAAATGAATAATACATGGGTTGTAGGAAATTCATCACACCAGTACATCAAAAATAATAATGATAAAATTAAAATGATTTTAATCAAAAGACCTGATTTTTTTTTTATGCACAATTGTATCATACAGAGTGCAACAATCCTTCGTGGTTAGTAGCATTGACAACATTTTAAAAATACCTTTGATCAAGACTATGTTTAATGTCGTTCACTCCACACCCAGTTTCTCTAATTGTGTCTTCTTACAGCTCCAAAGAAAGAGATAACCCAAGCCTTTAGCAGGATCCGTCAGGCTTCAGGGGAGGATCAGTATATGGGTGGTGGCAGATAAAGGCTGTATTATTTTCTTTTACTAGGCTGAAATCCTTGGCAGGTCTAGGAAACAGAAACAGCCTTCATAGGAGATATCAGAAAATACGTGGGGAAAATACCTTTTCTCACTCCCAATATTTTTATGCTAGGGAAATCTGGTTAAAAATGGCCATTAGCTTGAAGAGGAAACAGAAGTGGTGACTATTCCAGGACATGTTATATCATTATTATCTAAAAGAGCTTTTCCCTCTTGACAAATCCACACAAACTCCATGCCTTTCCAGGTTATCATCCTACTGGCAATACTGCACAGACATTCTCTTTATGACCTTCAAATAATCCAGATCTTTCCCATATCTCACTTGGAGATCTTGATAAAAATCGAGCAATGTGCTGCGATTGCAACATTCTTAGAGGAGGAGAAAGCAAGCAGCAGGGGCAAATCACGTTCTGTCCATTCTTTTCCTAGGACAAGAAATTCTACAACATTTTGCTTGGGAAGTAATTTTTTCCCTAGAACACAAAATCCATGGCAGATAACGTGGCAGTATCCCTTAGCTACAGGGCAGGGGGATTCCCACAGCTAGGATTCCACTTGATCAGAACAGCTTCCGTGAGCCTACCCAACCACTTGCACAGACTAGCAGCTCCTTCTCTCTCTTCCTGTCTGCCTACGGCTAATAATGTTTCGTGACCCACTGCGTGAGTGCTGTCTTTCACCGGATTTATGCAGTTTATTGAAACTGCAGCCCAAGACGCAACGGGTTGAAGAATGACCAGGCACAGTAAACCTCCTTCTGAAATTTCACTAGAGAGTTCCAAAGTAAGAGGACTAGGAAATCAATATGGTTCATTCATTCCTGAGGGATGCCTTGCTCATGGTATGAAATGATGACATGACCACAGAATTAAACCTCACACAAATTTCCACTTCTCATTGATCATACAAACGCAGGCATTATATTGCTTAAACTTGTTATCCAATTGTATTTTTACAACTCTCACGAGAAAAAAAAAAGTTATTTTCTTGTAAACCATTTAATTTTTTGTATCTGCTTAATGTACTTAACACATCCAATTTTAAAATAAAACAATTCTTCTTTTTTTAAAAATAAAAATATATTCAAAATAATACAATTCTATAAAAAATTAACATGATATTCTTGATCACCTTCCTAGCTGCTTCCTAAATAATTGCCCAAACTAAGTAAATGTATAAAGTAAGTTAAGTATAGTGCCAACTGCTTGGGTGCATTATGTAGGAAACAAAGTGTTCTATCTATTTTTGAAATGTAGGCATTGTAACTATAATAAAAAAGCATACAAATGCATTCATATTTAACATTTGCACAACCAAAGTCAGATCAATTTATTAATTCTCCCCCCACCACAGCAACATATGCATAAAACACTCAAAAGAAGACAAATGTATGAGAATTCATTTTACCTACAACGCCCAATTCCGGTCACTGCCAAGATGTGATTGACTGTTCTATTAATATATCCCAGGGAAAAAAATGAGGAATAAATCAAACAATACAAGATCAGCTTGTTCAAACTATAGAGACAAGGCCTTAACGCCAGAAAAACAAAATCATCTGAAAAGTTTGACTGAGTCCCTGTTGGCTCTCTGTTAAATCATTGCTGTTTGGGTGGACTTGGATGGTGATTCTGGTGTGGGACAGGTGATTATTGCTGGTGAGACGGGACAAAAAAGGGCTATCAAACCTGATGGATAGGCATGACCTGTTCCTTGAGCTTACGTTTAAAATGTAAGCGCCTTGAGGTTGCCACTGGATGTCTTATTTTTTTAAGTTAAAAGACTGCCCCTACAGAAACTTTTTCCAAATAGAAATACATCAGAGAGAGGTGATAGGTTAGCAAAGTCATTTGTTAATGACCCACAGACTGAGAAACAGAATTTATATTCAGGATCATTTTCCTGAAGAGCTCGGACTCATGTTCTCCACCTCACTTCCACTCACTCTGTGTCTTACTAGTGCAATTGTCCTCTTCTACTCTAGAAGACCATCCTTGTATTGCTACTATCCATCTCAAAGTTGTCCAGTTAAATCAGCACTCTCCTGATTACCTTACCAAGACATTCTACAGCTTTTACATTCTGAACATAAGCAAGAATTCCTAAATCTGTGTGTCCCACATAGAAGTTATACAGGGCCTAAAATTTATACTTAATAGCCAAGCATCTTCTAGAAAATCATCAAATTCCACACATCACTAAGTCCTTCCATATTTAGTGCTTAGAAGTGTGGTCTTTCCTTGCCTTCCTCAACTCCAACCCCATCCCTTTGGGATTCAATTTTCCAGAAAAATGCTTTAAAATAAACTTTTCATACATTTTTAAATTCTAGGGCTAGGATAAGAGAAAGGGATGCATCACATACTCCTTAAGTTCAAATAGGACATCTTTTTGAAAGAGTAGAGTAGGGAAATGGTAAATGGAAACAGAGACAAAGGAAAAATTCATATCCTATTTTAAATGCACAGTTATATAGGATCACATAGACATACATGCTCCTGTTTATGCATTGATAAATGCTAGATGTACATTTTTAATATTTTTAATAAAAGCCCTTAGTAGTAATAAGATTTTAGATTTTAAGAAATAAGAGTAAATATTCCCTGGAAAAGTAATACACATTTCGGTTTGTTGCTGGCCATTGTAATAAGTATTGGGAAGAGAACAGCCAAAAGGTAAATGTGAACTAATTTGCAGTATCTCTTTGAAGATATTTCATCAAAGAAAAATAGTATTTTTCAAATGATAACTAATTGGAGCAATGAATTAGCCTAGGTTTTAATTAAAAATTGAAAACTCAGTATACTCATTACCTACTTCAGCAGCAAAAACAAAGCACAATGAAATTTCTTCAAACTGATTTAACATTTATATTATTAATGAGAATGTATGTGGATCATGACATAAATCTATTAATCAGTTACAAATTGAGCACATGAGAAAAACATTTGAAAATAATTGTACTGCATATCATGTAGGTTTTTTTCAGATTAGCATGTACATAAATATCTGGCACAACAAGCAAAAACAACTTTTAAAAAGTAAAAGCTATAGGACAGATAATAAGCATAAAATCTAAATATGAACATTAAGAGTTTAGCCACAGAGCAGTTCCAATGCATAAGGACATAGGAGTATTCCAACAACTAAAATACCTAACAATTTCCAAACGCTCATCTCATGCTGTAAAGCTAAAAGATGTTTTTATAATTTTCTTATTTTCATATTGTCCTCTATAAATTTTCAGTTATCATCTCTTCACATAACAAATCTTTCTAAGACTCGCATCGCTCTTACTAATGAAACTAATTCTGTGTTTCTAGAATCTATTTTGTTGTTGTTTATCAATTCTTTGGTGTTATTTTTTAATGCAGCATCCTGCAGGGAGTAACTCATTGGTTTTTGCCAGAAAACTCTGATTTCCTTAGAGTGCAATTTACATAATTTGTGAATTTATCCTAAACTATTGTTTCCCATTTCGGTCTCAGTACAATAAGAACAAGACCCCTTGCTATAATCAAATTGGTCACGTGTTATTTCACGGACTTGCACTTTTATTTTAAAACCTGAACTCTGCTTTTGCTGTTCCATTTCCTCGTTATTGACTGGTCATTAAGTTTTTCAAGGTTTATTTTTATTGGAAAATCAGATATACAAAGAGGAGGAAAGACAGAGAGAAAGACATGCTCTCCTTTGATTCACTTTGAAAATGGCCACGATGGCCAGAGCTGCACCGATCCAAAGTCAGGAACCAGGA